TGGGATCTATATTGTACAAATGTCCTTCGAATGTTTTTCTAATTTCAATTTTATGACCGACTTTCTTAATATTCTTCGGATTAACAATGATATTATCCCGTTAATTAATTAATATACATACCGATATGTACATACCAGCCTATTTAAACCAACTTAAATTATTCTGATATTTTTCGGATTAACAATGAAATTATCCTGTTAATTAATATATTTAATCTTTGCATATTTAGATCTGACTATTAATATACATACTGATATGTACATACCAGACTATTTAAACCGACTTATACTATTGTCCCTGTCAATTTTAACGTTTAATATTTGTATGTTTAGACCTGGATATTAATATAATGTATATGTATCTGCTTATTTAAACCCGATATTAATATATTAAAATTATTATTCCTGTTAATTTTAATATTTAACCTGCATATTTAGATCCAGATATTAACAGTTAAACTCAAACTTGTACTATTGTCCCTGTCAATTTTAACGGTTAATATTTGTATGTTTAGGCCTGGATATTAATATAATGTATATATACCTGCCTATTTAAAGCCGATATTAATATATTAAAATTATCCTGTTAATTTTAATGTTTTACCTGCATATTTAGATTGTTTGAAGGATCGACGTAATAAAGTAGGTTGTGTAACTTTATAGCATAATCAGAGTTAACAATGTAAAAGTCTATCGTAGTATAACGTAATAGATTTATGATATCTCACATGAGCAAAAACTAAATAAATAATAGGTTCGATCTTAGAGATCGAACCTAGACTTTGAATTTCGTTAAATAAGCTTGTACTTTGAAGACAACCTTGTGGCCTACTAGTTGTGTAGTGAAGGGACGTCGAGTAGAAGGTGCTAAGTGGGGAACGAAGGACGAAGTGTTCTTGCAAGCGAGCGAAAGAGATAAATTAATAAATAAACACGACAAAAGCCGTCTGCTAGTATTTAAATTTCAAAGGATTTATTAACCCCTTGTCAATATTAACAGTTAAACCCGAACTTATACTATTGTCCCTGTCAATTTTAACGTTTAATATTTGTATGTTTAAGCCCGGATATTAATATAATGTATATGTACCTGCCTATTTAAACCTGATATTAATATATTAAAATTATCCTGTTAATTTTATGTTTTACCTGCATATTTAGACCTGGATATTAATAGTTAAACCTGAACTTATACTATTGTCCCTGTCAATTTTAACGTTTAATATTTGCATGTTTAGACCTGGATATTAATATAATGTATATGTACCTGCTTATTTAAACCCGATATTAATATATTAAAATTATTTACAAACCCAATTCTACAAATCCACTGATATGCGATATTTATCCTGGATATTAATATACGTATGTACCTGCTTATTTAAACTTGAC